TTGAGATGAACTTATGAAATTACAATTGATGTGTAATTCGGCATGGAAAGAAAATGCATATAGAAATTCTTTGAAATTGAATCAAAAGGGTTTATTATCCTTGTGATAAGTTGAATTGTAATTGATAATGCAAATGTGGATGTGATGTATTTGTTAGACAAGTAGGAGTTGAGTATAGGATAATTGTTATTGAATATAAAGGAGTTATAGCCATAATGGAAGGACAAGTGGGAATGGAGTATATGAGAGCAGTTTTTTTGAGTATTAAGGGAACTTGAACGTTGAGGTTATGGAGTTATAATAAATGTAATTAGTAAAAAAGGAAAATGGAAATAAAAAGAGGAGTGTTATAATGGATTTAAATGAGGAATATTTTGGAATTGGCTAATAAATTTAAAATGATGTTGTTCCTTAAACATATTTGTTTTCAAAAAGGATTTATGGTTTTCTGATGACAAGGGAAAATGTTTATGGCTAAAGGTTTTTCTTAAATGTTCAAATAAATTTTGAGAAAAAGAAACTCTCCGTATGATATTTTGAAATTACAAAACATTACCTTACTATATGGTATCACCCTGCATGCATGATCATTTCTGTCTATAGGATGGTTATTATTTTAGAACTTTGAGATTCCTACTACGCAATTGTGCTCACCCCTTGTTGTTTCATTTTCCTACAGGAAGAGAAGTCAGATTGATTGGTTTGAGGATTAAGAAGTTCATGTGTTTGTTACGTGTAATTTCATAGTAGATGTGAAAGAAATGAATTTTGTACATTGATATTTGTAATTATTTATTTGTAACTCCATAGCGGGAGCATAGCATGTATTATTATTATTGTTGTATTTATCATGAGAGAGAACATGTACTATTATGTTTCTATTACTCAAGAGTAATAGATATTTGTTTTCAAAAAAACAAAAAAAAAAAGAGGACCTAAATTAAAGGCTTTTGGTAATAATTCCCAATAATTAAAAATTGGGGTGTGACAATTTCACATCTACCTTTTTCAAACATTCACATGAACCCAACACAATTTCCTCACAATATTTTACAAACAAAACAGAAAAAATGTCACACAAGTTGCATCTAAGCAAGCCATACCATACATACCAAAACCCAACCAATTTGAAACCATTTATTGCCCTAACAATTCAATACTTGCATGAATCATCAATGACAAAATGTATCACAGTTCATAAAATATCTATCATTTAAAGCATCTGATTCTATTAACCCTAGATTAACCTCAAATCATTAAAATAGTAAAAACCCAACAAGAAGTTTAAAATCAAATTGATGGTCAAACACAATTGAATAAAAAATAGACATGAAAGAGACTGATAGAAGACCATAACAGTTACACGAAGATTACTTGAAAATGTCTTTTGAAGGGGAGATGAGTGTTAATTTTGACATACAAACACAAGAGAGGAAGATATGCAAGGCTATGTTTCAACAAATCTGCTATAACATGCCAACATAAAAACCAACAATCCAACAAATCCCACACCTAGGAAACAATAAACAAGGCTATGTATCAAACTACAACTAACAACATATCCATGACTTCCTCTGCAGGCTTGCCTAAAACAAATTTTT